CAAGACAACAAAAAGGGACGGGAAGAAAGTTGCGGTTTTATGAAAAAGTCTCGAATAATGATTCGGGGAATATGAGAATGCAAAAAGAAACCACAAGCTGTAGCAAACACATGATCCAGTTTACTATCAAATTGGGGCAAATCCAATTGTAATTTAGTGCACATTCCGTGGCAACAAGTGAATTGCATGGCAATTGCAATTGAAACCTGCAAAGACAAACAAAAAAAGCAGCTACCAAAACCAAGTGAAAGTCCAGACACAAAGCAATTAAAACCACCGCCATAATGAAGGCGAAAATAGTAAAGAAAAGAAAATGAATCAACAAATTGAAAAAAAGCTTAACATTTCCCAGTGAAATAACCTAAGATAAAGTTTGTGGCTTATACAGACAATACCTCAAACCAATCTCCATAAAACTGTATATATAGATTTCATTACTTGTAGTGGCTTTCAAACTGCAATGGCGCCATCTAGCTAGTGCTAATTTACAAGCTGCCAACACCTACAGTTTTAAACTGAAAATGGAAATTGCTTTTCCCCACCCAAAGGCACTCTCTATATCTCTATAACTCTCTTGGTGTCTACACTGTAAAAAAAACTTTAATTTTATAGCAAAAACCATTTTATTATTAAGTCAACTTAAGATTACTTACTTTTGAGTTACAAATTACAATGGTCAATTAGATTTTAAGAGCAGGTTAAGGGGCTCTTTAGAAACCAGACTGCCTTCATTTTCTTCCCATGTAGGATATACGGTGTTTCAAAAGGGTGCTCTCAAATTGAATTTCAAATTTTCGATTATCGAAACCTTTAGGTAACGAGGTGTGTTCAAAAGACTTTTCAAATTTCAAATTTTCAAATTTTTCGATTATCTTCAGTTTTGGGAACAAGAAAAAGTCACAGGCCAAATCCGGTGAATATGGTGGCAGGCATTATGTGGTGTTGTTTTTGGCCAAAATCCAAATCCTTTGATCCATATTTTTCGATAGCAAAAATCGCCGAGCTCGCAAAACAACTGTAACTTTACGCCTCTCACAACCAAACAAGAGGATTTCCATGACTTACAGATTGGGAGAGGTACCAATATAACAAAAAAAAATAAAAAAATTTTAAATTTTTTTAAATTTTAAAATTTCCTTTTTTTTGAACACACCTCGTATGTAAAAACTAGCTTCAAATTCGCTAAAGGCGGCAGACTTGCTAAACTGGCTTCCAGATTCGATCCAGACAGATAAGGGAAGACAACCCAAGAGTCTCTCATGGGTAGCAGATGACAGCTGCCTAAGCTTTTTGACATGATCTACGAAAGATCGGGTTTTTTACTACTGTTGGGAGGAAAATTGAGCAATTTTTCAATGCTTTTAACTAAATGTTTGCGATATGATTAGACTTGAGTGGCAATTAATATAGTTTCCGCCGATAAAGTAGTTTATTGAAAAACATACAAGTAATAGTTGTAATTCATTTGATAAATAAGATATAAGCTTTCTTAATAAACTTTTTTTCTCTACCTCACTTTCTATATTCCCTCTAACCTTGTCCCATCATTCAAACTTGTTGCCAATTCATACATTCGCACACTTCTCCAGACATAAAAAAAAACATTATATAATCTTAAACTCAATTGAAAAATTACCGGACCAAAAAAATTTAATACGCGCTTGCCCCCACGTCTTAGGAATTACGTAATTTTAAGCTATTCTGCTATTGTCTTCAAGTGAGGTCCACTTCAAAGAAACCCACAAACATCCGCTTGCAGTTTCTCGAAACTATCAAGTTCTTTCATATTGAAAATCATAAAACAGTTTCTCCCATGCTACTGATTTTTCTAATGTTTCTTTTTTGCCTTTTCGACTATTATGTTCTTTTTCTAGCCTCGTGTCGAATCAATAATTTAATTGACCCACTTTGACCGGAGTCGAGCAATAACTTTTCGAGGGTTACGTAGTTTGAGGCTAATTGCCTGAAGTTATAGTTGGCCGAAAAGTTTAGCCAAAGCAATGGCAACATTGAAAATAGAGGGAAAAGTAAGCGGAAAGCTAAATTTGGGTCGAAACGTCTGCAGTGAGAGAGTGAGCAACTTTGTTAATGCTAAATAGAACAAAGTGCTGCCAAAACTGTGCTTAAAAAAAAAACATCCAAAAGCAACAGTTTTTGCATTGCAAGGGTGTTAGTAATTTTAATTATTTGAAAGAATGTAAAACTAAGCAAACCAAGTGATAAACAAGTTGATAAACAAGCATTGTTTATTTTTCTTAATACAAACTTTATCTGTAATTCTATTATGACCTATTACTGACCTAAAGTAAATTTTAAAAATCAAACACTTTTATCAGTTATGTTCATAGTTTTCTTATCAGCTCTTCCAGGCAAAGCCTTTTTGAAATGCTGTAATGCTCAAAACGTGAGAACGCCTAATCACCACCGTTCAGTAATAAACAAGAGTCACTGTTAAAAACTAACTTTTTCTCTTTTGGGTGATTTATAGACTTGGTTAAACTACGAGGTTAAGGCTGTTCTAAGATTATAAGAGTTTGACATTTTTTTTGCGGGCGTATAAAGTGCTAAATACATTTTTTTAGCAGCAGTAATTCAGCTGATTGATTGCTTTTTGGATACCAAAAATCGTGATTTCTTCATGGCCATAAACGTTAACACAGTTATCTAGCAATGGGGGAAGAATTTAAAGACTTGTGCTAACCATAGCCATAAGAAAAATTATCATAATTATTTTAAAAAAATTTTGATTTTAAATTTGTGTGCAGTAAACCTACAAACGATGTTTTCATTTTTTGCAATTATGCTGGATTACATAAAAGGCTTCCCTCTGACCTTTTGTTGGCACACCCAAACGACCTTGAACTTGACTGGGCCAAAATGTCGAACTTGATATCTATAAATATGTAACAGAAGGGACTGCTTTTTTTTTAACAGTATGCAAACAAAATCAATAAGGTGAAGCTGTAACCTTTTTGCATCAAAATAAATTGAAATTTCCCCATTTATCGAGGTCGGCATTTCTAATTTATCAACAGGTTGACTCATAGTAGACGTGCAAACGGGTTCCCTCATCATCTGCTCTTCCCATCGTCATCATCAAGTTTCCAAGTAAGTGCAAACAACAAAAATCATATTAAACGTCTTTTTCCCCCCCTTGGAGATGAGTCATTTTGGCCAGACAAGAGAAATTTTTCCGTTTTTTTGTCCAGTCCTTGAACTCTAGATGCAAAATAAAATTACTAATGGAAATTAGAAAAACGTTTGAAGGCCCGAAAGGCAACATATTTATTTTTTACTTTGCGCTTGGGTTCATTCACATTAAGTTTATTTTGGCCAACTTTTTTCGGTAGCGTGTGTAGGTTGCCCCCAAAAACTTTTGGCATTGTCTTTGTTTCTGGTCTTTTGGCGATGACTGTACTTGACTTTGAAAGTTGATCAGTAGATACGTCTGAGCTCAGTTACCAATTAAACGCCTGGTGAATGACCATGCAAATCTTATCTATCTACAATGGATTTTTTTGTGTATTACTTGTGATTACTCATGGAAACCAAAAAGCAAGTGACGCACAATCCTGCGGAAACAACGTAATAAACAGCAAAACAAATGCACAAAGTCTATCAAAAGCGCATAAACACCAAAAATAAACTCGATTTTCCAAATATATTTTAGTTTTCCAGCTACAGTGCTTTCGAGTGTCAACTTCGATTATCTAAAAACACGGAAATAAATAAAATGACGTGTATTTAAATGCAAATGGTAATTTTAATCAATTGTTTTCCGCGTAGCTTTTTGTGTGGAAATAGCATGAGAGAAAAATAAACGCAAATGAAGCGTGGCGAAGACAAATTTATAACTGTTTATGTTGGTAAATTAACAAAATGGTGCGCAATTTAAATGTTTATGTTAAGGTTAAGAGTTAAGAGCTTTAAGAGGCAAAACCATATGAGATTTAAATAGGGAATTTTTTGTTTATTTCCAGCTGACTACCAGTGACTGGTAAACTGTAACTTAAATGCAAGTTTGTGAAATCAAAAAGTCTTGAATTTCAAAATTTAACGTGCCCACACAAACTTACACACATACAGAGGGACATTGAAAAACAATGGGCGGCAAACAGAAAGTAAAACCAGTTCCCAACAAGAACTAAACAAAGCGCACATAGCAACAACAAAGACTTTACAGTAGAAACATGCTATCTTAACCATGACTAATATTCCTTGTATCTACACGAGTTTGATTTAAATGATTAAATTCATTATAGTTTAATTAGCAATCTATACAATTTTAAAATAAATTATGTACAAAAAGATATTTTTTACAGAATATCTACTGTAACTGCAGGGCGTTTGCGTTGGCGTCGCTGACGTTGTTGTATCTTATTTTTTCTATATTTATTTGCTACGTTTGGCTGCTGCCCATGACCATGATCAAATGGGTGCGACAAGGAGGGGGAATGCAACAGAGGCAGGTTGGGACGGAGTGGGACAGAGGCAGAAAGACCCCGGGCAATAGAGATTACATAAAACAGCAATGCAAACACATACTTTAACACCTTGCTGTTATCTCACAGTTTGGAAACGACTGCGCTTGTGTGGTAATAAGATAAAACCAAACATTTATACTACGTTTCAAGCGAGGGCAGTACAAATTCTTAAAAATCCCATTGAAATTCACAAACATTTTTTCAGAATCAGAATTTATACTCAAGTGGTATTTCTTATTTAAATTCTCAAAAAAAAAACATAACTGTATACAGATACAGAGGAACTTTTATAAATAATTTGGTTGCTTTTAACCAAGCTTGTTTAGTTGCCTACACAGGAACTTGACGAACAATTCACACATATGCTATAAAGTGTACTTATTCCCATTATTTAGTAAATTAACTTGGTATGAACATACTACAGTTTGAGGGTCACTTCGAGGGCACATCTCACGTTAGCTGTTATCTTTAGTTCTGAGGTGACTGTGGAATATCGCGTGCTTTTTTTGTACTTACGTTGCCGCGTCCTTGGGCACAATTTCCTCGTCCGCCTCGACTTTGACGTCGATCCCCGGCTGCTCCATCGTTATTTCAACGTCCATATCTGAACTGGAAGAGATTTCCTCGCGTTCGCTATCGCTTATTTCGATGATTTCGTCGTCCATGCGTGGCAGTTCCTACGTTAAACAACAACAGCGACAAGAGTCCAGTGCTTGGCAAACGTTGTTATTTGTCAATTCCTTTTTTTTCACTGTTTTCCTCGCTTTTGCGTCAGTGGCAAATGCGTATGTGGGTGTGCGTTTGGGCCTGTGTATTTGTTTCGCACGCGCGTTGTGATAAAAAAGACTTTCCGGATTTCTAGTACTTTCTTATTGTTGTGTTCTAGCAATCGATCTTCCGCGTTTAGTTCCGATTTATTCGCACGTTACTGGCTAATTAGTTGTTAATTTTGAAATTTGTATTTCTTAAAGCCAAACGACCCGAACAGACGGAAAAAAGCGTGCGATGCGAGTTAGAGCTGGAACAAAAGGTAGTGCTGTGCTATCCGCTCTCGACACTATCGATATATCGTATATCGGTGTTTTCCTATAGTTGGGTTGATAACTTTGCTAAGCGATACACATGGCAATGGTCGAGGCTAACATGGCTAACAAAAGCGTTGTTGATCAGCTGATGCTTTGTTTTGGTGGGACTGAACAGCTGACTTTATATTAGGTATTGATAGAAACATCGGCCACGCCCACTCTAACGCCCTTAAATGTGTTTCATTTGTAAATGCATTTTGATTTTAATTTAAAAAGATACTTAAGTATTCTAGTTCTATAAACCATCAAAAGGAGTCGCTTATTACATTAATTAATTTCCAAAAGAGGGCGTAATAGACAGAAAGATATATTTATTTTGAAGCTTGTTGATGGGTTGGCGGGAAATATAAAATACATAGTTCTGATACATTTTGATATTATTATATTATTACTATTATTAAAGTATCTAATAAAATATATATATATGTATATAAAATATATATTATAAAGTGACCTCACCACACCTGGCACTTTTCTTGCTGTGGACCATCTCGACGACATCCAAAAGCCTTATTAAAGGGTTCAAATCCCTTCACAATCTGCTGCAAACGTTCCTGATCTTTTTCGGAATTAAAGATATATTTACTATTTTCGCAGAAGGATTGTCCAAAATTGAGGAAGAATATCTTTTCCGGTGGCAAATGGGTGAAGTCGGTGTGGGTTGAGTTCTTATTATTCTTTAAGTAGGCATTATAGGTGATCATTAGACCAAAATTATCCGATAGACTATCATCAACATCCTCAATTTCGTTGCGATACATGCACCGCAAAGCCTCGTCAAAGCGTTCTGATTTAAATCCTTGCTGAATTCCATAGCTATCGACCGTAATGCCATCTGTGTCGAAGGCGTTCATAAACAATTGTGCCAAAGAGAATCCCATCAGGCTGTACTTAAAAACATCATCACTATCCGGTGCAAAAAACGGTTCTTGAAGTAAGCCAAGTGGCACGATAATAATATTCAGGTAGCTCACATAATAGGCAAAGGAGGCTTCTGCTGTAGTTGGATCGGGCAAGTGGAAATATTCTTCTCGAATCTGTGTCCTTTGCTGGATTTGTGAAACCCTCTTTTGGGTGCGAAACTGCAGCAACTTGAGATGTTCCCGATGGTAATCAAGGGGTCCAGGGGGAAACTCTAATCCCTCGTAGTAATGGCTAGCGAAATTTCGAAAATCATCAGCTCTTGGAATGTTTCCAATATTAAGGATAACTTCTTGAGCCTTTCTTACTATAAACCTTTTTTGCCTAGGGCTTAACTCCAGACGATTGTGTTCAACTTGCAACAGGAATTCGTTACGCAATTTTTCGAAAATATTATTGATTTCATGGATGTTGGCTCTTAAAATTGATGGTTCTAATATGTGTTCCTTGTAAAGCAGACTCACAGCCAGATTCATGCTGCGGCGCATATTTTGGGATACACTTAGTGGATTCTGTGCCGACCGTAGTTTCCTCCAATAGATACATCCCGAATCGGGTCATTATATAGCTGGCAACTACGTGATCTTCCTGTTTCTCCATTAGCTTCTTGAGGGAACTGAAATACTCGAATTGCTGGGCCACCACCTGGAAACCTGGGCCAACGTCCTGACCCAAAAATTGCTCAAGCAATCTGTGAAATTTGATCCCGGTTCTTTTTTCCAATTCTTCTATACTGATAAGTTCCCCGTCAATATATTCTATTCCCATGACCAGCTCGTTTATAGACTCCTCTAGGTTTCGTATCTTTCTTGCCAAGGGTATGACTTCATTCGGAGGGACCTTCATGAGATAGAGCATGGTTAGGGTTTCCACAAAGCTGTTCAGTTTCTGTGATTTCTCCTCAAAATTTGGTTTTCTGAGATCCAACCGAAATTCCGAGCCTTTGAGGGGATTGGGTTCGACTTCTAGGCTTAAGAAGACATTGGTTAGGCCATAGCGGTGCAAATAGCCCAATGTCTCCAGCCAGTTGAACGGTTTCTGTGGCCATTTACTATCACTTGGTGTAAATTGGGGCCAAGTGAGTCCTTCGCCTGGAGGAGCCAGTTGCAAGTACTGTTCCAAACTGCTAATGTTTCGAGGCGATGCACTGCAGATGGTGTAGAAACGAAGGACCTTTGCCTCAACACTTGACTCATTGAATCCTGGCGATTGCGAATTCTTATGCAGGTTCTCCATTAGTTTTACAAATTTTTGTTTCACCTGGAGGTCCAGCATTTGGTTAAAGTGAAAATAGGTGCCATTGTTGTGGTGCTCGTTGTACTTGCCACAGGAATGGTTGTAGTAATGGCCACATGCACTAGAATCCTCGTCCAAATTGACAAGGATACTATCTAGCAGTCTTGAATTGATGCTGCCCGCCACAAGGGGCAGAAATAAAAGGCAACTAATCCACATAATAGCCGAAAGCACACTGAACTCCGACAAGACTGCCATCGGAGTATTAATAGCTGGCCAACGATCTCGCCTTATCAGAAGAATACTATATGGCTAAGTGGTCATTTCTCAGCTGATAACTTGTCGTAAATGCCCGAAGGCAGTAATTGTTGAGGTTGGACAGGAGAATGTGGAACTGAAGTTGCTTCAAAGTCCAAAAATTCTTTTTTATGCATACGAGGTTTTTATAAAACGTTTTTGAAAAAATAAATCAAGTTTACATAGAAAATAACGCCTAATTGCTCTGTATTGCTTTTTAAAATCGGCAACATTTCGTTTAATTATAAAATCAAAATATAACAATTCTCTTGATAATACAAATTAAGTCTTAGAATATAAAATATCTATGTATATTATTTAAAAAGTATTCTTAAAATCAAAGGCACAACGAAAAGCTGCTTGATTTCTCATTTCATAACTGACGATAGCTGATTGTTTTGCAGCTTACTGATAGATGCTGTCTTGGCAAATGTGTGATAGAGCAGTTATTCTTTTGTCGTTAAGACAAGGCGCCTTAATTCGAATTTCAGGTATTATTTACCTTAATTGGGGTAAACGTTTAGAATACTCTGAAAAATATTTAAAAAAAAAAAGATTATATAACAAATATACTTTAAAAAACTTTAAAAAATATATGATTATTTATGAGTAGTGTGAAAGTACTAGCACTGCAAAACAATTTCCTTCACGCTCAAACCTGGAAATCTCACTGTAAAATTGTTAAAATAATTGTAATAAATACTTTTTATTTGGCTAAATTAATTTAGTGTTCATAACTTTAAAGATGGCGATAATCTATTTGATTATTTTTTTTTTATTTTATATTATTTTTTACAATAACAATAAGTACAATTTATTTATTCATATGTACTACAGTTTCTCACCTTTTGATTTATAATATTTTTTGAATATACAAACCATTATAAGACACTAAAAGTCTGAAGAAATAAAAGTGTCTTAAAAGCTTTTGGAAATCCATATTTGCAATCAATTTAATATCAAATTGTAGCTGTCATCTAAAGCACAGGAGAAGAGGAAACCCACAAAGAAGAGAAACCCCAAACGAAACGAATAAGAAAAATCCATATGTCATGTGCAAACACAATACATAAAGACGTATTCCATTGCCATATAGAAAAGAAATATATATATACGGAACTCTCTCGAAACAAATGGAGAGAACGGAATGCGATTGGTTCGGCGACGGAATGGAAATCGTTATGGTGAAGAATCGCAGAAGGCAAAACGAAGACAAATAATAGAAAAATGACCGAGCCCTCGGATACATTGTACATAAACATATAGAGGTGGCAAAGGTGCGAGACCAGAATTTATAAGCAGTGCTATTTATAAGCAGCCGAAAAACGAAAAACCAACGCCCCCAGGCGCAAAAAAACCCCATTATCGTATTTTATTCAAGTGCGAGTGGGATGGCCAGATATAGTGCTACTCTCCTCTGAATCATAAACACAAAAAGAAATACAAATAAACGAGACTGGAATGGAAACGAATAGAAAACGGAAAACAGTTGACAAAAAAATCAAAAACAAGAAAAAATCGCAAAGCTTGGGCTAGAAAGAGACAGAAGCACTGCCCCGAAAAGTATAATTCGTTGAAAGTTTGTCATTTACTTTTTTAATTGAAATTAAAATGCTTTTTGTCGAAGACAGCTGCGCAAACTCGAAGTAGAAGCATTTTTTGTACTTTTCTTCCCCGGCAATGCATTTATTTTAATTTACTTTGCAACAGAAAATGCCAAAACAATTGTCATTTGTTTATATAAGGCGTCGGCCATAGGTGTGAGCGAGAGCGCACACATATACAACTGGCTATGCAAATATCCTGCTCTCTCGCTCGCTCATGTTTATTGGTTGCAGCCCACCTGAGCGTGCGACAGAGATGGCGTGTCAGTGTGAGAGAGAGGGTCTGGGCTGAAACGAAATGAAATTGAAATGAAAAAAGGTTTTTTTTTGCCCGTAGATGGAGGGATGGGGCAGGGGAACGAGAGCATAAGAGCGAGAGAGAGAGAGGGAGGATTTGAAGAACACAATACAACGCACAAACGAATTGAAAAAATAAATAAAACGAATGCGAGAGAGAGAGCGATTACGTTTGTCATTGTATTTTTCGGGGTTGCACACAGAAATATACACACAAATACAAATACAACGATCAATCGCACATACCACTCCCCTTTTTGGCCTGGTATTGGTGTAATGCGAGACGTGCCACAGACATTCGTAAACCCAACTCGTATTCGTATTCTGGTTTTGCACAATCGCAGATACAGATACACCAGCTCGCTCTCACAGACACAGATACATATCCAGATATACATATGCATATACGTATATATTCGTTGCTGCCGACAGCGCTGCCGACGTTGCTGACGGAAAATCCGAAAGGAATCGAATTGAAACTCGCTTTTCATTACGAATTTGTCATTCGAAAGAGAAGGTAATGCAATAAAACTTTTGCGCGCGCATTTCTCTCAGTACATAACGGTAGCGCTTCGTGTGTACGCCTCTGTGTGCGTGTGTCTGTGTGGGTGGGCTAAAAAAATAACACTCGTTAGCGCTTTCTTGCTCGCTCTCTGGCAATTGCCGCCTTTTGCCATCCCGCTCTCAGTCGATTCCCATTCGAATGCAATTCGTTTCGTTGATTTCTCCGATTCGCGAATGAGTGGGGGAAGAGGAGCCAAACGGAGAAGTAGAAACAGAGGCAGCGACGCTAACGTCGCCGTCGCAGCGGAGTAGCTGGCATCTCTCAATCCGTCGGTACACATGTGATGGTTGAAAAAAATACCCTTCTCAGACAGCCGAAATCGCATCAGTCGGGTTTCCAGCTCGGCCGGGAAAAGTCGGGCAAATTTCAAGAAGCGGCTCTGGACAGCTAAATTGTTAAAAATAATACTAGTAATTAATCGAGAGACAAGCAAATCCGTCGGTACGATATTCAAAAAATTCCATTACGAAAACGGGCAATCGGAATATATCATTTGAAATATTGGAAAACATATATTTCACGTCGAAATTTCGAAGCGTTTAAACCTACCATTAAGAAAGTGCGCGAGTGTCTTGTGTCAGTGGATTTGAGTTTTAGAATTACTTTTAAAAACCTTAAAGGTAAATCTATCTTCTATATCGAATCATTGAAGTAGCTCTGGAAATAGGTAGATCTATGCAAATCGCTAGAAACATTTAGTTTACGAATATTCACTAGCTTTTAAAATAACTACGTTGCTTTTATTTTGCAAATAAGGTGACTAATTAGAAAATTAATCAAAACATTCCAACCTGTGTCATTTTTAAATAGTTTCTTTTAATAATTTGGTACAAGAATTATATTATCTAAAGAAGGAAGAATAATTTGATAATAAAAAAATTATGAATTATTTTCTATAGATAGGGCAATATTCAATTAGATATTCAATTAAGATTATAAAGTAAATATAAATAATAAAAATAATTTTTATCTTTGTAACAAATTATAAAACCTAAGATATATTTTAAATCAAATTTCCTTGAGATCAAAAGAAGGAATTCAGATTTTGATAAACAAACTAAAAAAATTCTAAAAATGATGAATGTTCATGACATTGTGCCTGCTCTGTCAAAAATATTCGATTAATATTTTTATAGGCCCGAACTAAATAAATATTTTAAATATAAAACCATTAATTAGCGGATCTAGGAGCAAAGCTCATTTAGAATTTGCATAGAGAAGCCTAATAAATAATTAAAAACGAATTAGAAGTTCATTAATTATTTATCTCCCTCTCACCACCTTTTCTCTATTTCTTTCTAACTTTGTGTTAACTTTTTGCCACAACAGAAAACGCCAAATTAAAGAATCGTTTAAAAAGTGAAAAAATACAAAAGCGTCGGCCATGATGAAGTATGGATTCTGTGACAAGTGAACAGAGTGAAAAGAACAATAATAAATCGGGCGCAATAAATAACAATATTAGTAGTGTTATCGAAAGAACTGCGGGCAATATGAACACCACCGCCATGTTGATGCACCATCAGCAGCAGCAGCAGGCAGCCGCAGCAGCAGCAGCTGCCGCAGCAGCCCAACAGCAGCAACAGCAACAGCAGCAGCAACACAATGGACGCGACGGTAGCAACAGTTCGCGCGGAGCTAACGACGATCGTCCGAATGGCCGGAGTTCGCATACCGGACGAGGATCAAGTTGCTCACCGGCCAGCTCACCAAGTCGTCATCCCAGTGCCGTGAGTCCTGTTAGCTCCTTGAACCACTCCATGATGCAGCAGATGCAACAGCAACAGCAGCAGCAACAGCAACAGCAGCAACACCATCAGCTTAGCCCCCCGCCACATGGTATGCCATCGGGAAATGGACTGCCGACGGGTCTGCCACCCAGGATGCCCCATGGACTGCCGCCTCATTCGCTGGGACTTCTGAACTCCCTGCAGATGATGCATCATGCCTCCCCCTTGGAACTAATGGCCGCTGCCCATCATCATGTGCCGCCAAGGTCGTATAATTCACCGCCACCGATCTCCACCTCGGATCCCAGTGCCAATGAGTGCAAATTGGTAGAGTACCGGGGTCAGAAGGTCGCCGCATTCATAATTAGCAACGAAACCATGCTTTGCCTGCCACAGGCCTTCGAGCTTTTCCTGAAGCACCTGGTTGGCGGTCTGCATACGGTATATACCAAACTAAAGAGACTGGACATTGTACCGCTCGTCTGCAACGTGGAACAGGTGCGCATATTGCGCGGATTGGGCGCCATTCAGCCGGGCGTCAATCGCTGCAAGTTGCTCTGCTGCAAGGACTTCGATGTCCTCTACAGGGACTGCACCACGGCCAGGTACGAACGAAAAACAATTCTGGGGAGTCCTACACGCAAATGGGTGGTTTTTGGTTATTTCACGGATATGATTTTGTTTCACTGATCTATGTTTTGTAGTTAAATCGAGTTTAGTTTCTTAACGACGATTTTCACTGGTATTAAGACAGGAAAAACAAACTTTTTAAGCTTTAAAACTAAAAATCTTTAAAGTGTAAAGGTTTTTAATAGCTTTAAAATATATAGTTTTTGTTAGTTTTTGAAGTTCCCATTAATTTCTAAAAATATAAATGCATTTTCTTTTCTTAAGTTCTATCTCTCTGTTTCGTCGAGTGCATTTGCCCAGTTAGTTGCATTTCTAGTTCGGGTTTTGCTCTGCAAAATTTTCTCATTTCCTGTTTCCGCTTAAGCCAACTTACGCACTCAACTTGCACCCGCCGTTGCAGTCGCCCTCCCCCTCTAGATTTTCATATTGCAACGGGCACAATGCAAATAGTTTGTGCATCGATATCGATTAACCCGGGCAATCAAAAAACTTTCGTCTCGCATTTCGCCTTTTGCCTTTTCCGATGACATTTGGCGGAAATACGCAATGCAAACGTAACGCTCCCCGTAACGCCCTTGCTAACTATCCGAAAGCTGCGTAATTCTTTTGAGCGCCTCCTAACAATAGTTGGTGAAACAGTTTTTCCACCTTGTACAACTTTTCCTTCTGTTCTCCATCCGATTTCGTTTTTTTTTGCAATCGACGTGTGCGGTGCCCTGTCAGCTCATTTCCGTTTGAGTGGAAAAAACGACAAGCAAAAAACAGAGCAGAGAAATAGGCTTGGTTTTATTTTTGTAGTTTGTGGGGGTAGATCTAGGAGTTATTAGGTCTCCAAGTTATTCATGGTTAAATATTGTAACTCAGTTTAAAACAAAAACTTACAGGAAGTGCTATTGTCCTTGGTTACAGAAAAGTTTTACCAGCAAGTCTTTTAATTATGTTACAGGGTTGCTAGATTATTTCGGGAAGATATTAATCTTTAAGACCCTGAAAAACGTTACCTATGCTCTTGAGAAATAAATAATAAAAAGCTAAAGGAACTAAAACTCAAATTAAAATGTCATGTTAAGTCATTTAGAGTCATTTAAGAGACATTTAAAAACAGGAAAAGAAACAAACAATTCTTTTTATAGATCCTTAAATTAAACTATCAAAAGATTAAACTAATTAAAGGCTAATATTCCGGTTGATAGATCCCCTAGAGATACCCAATACTTGATGAATATTTAAACATCCCCTGGCCATAAGCTTTTCAAAAACATTTACAAACCGAACTCCCTGGCATTGAGACATCAGCAGTTGAAAAGATTACAATGTTGTATTCCAATTTTCCTTTTTTCCTTCTGTTCTGTTGTTTTTTTTTTTTTTGTAAGCCTGTGAAGAGTCCTGGGCTTTTGTTTACAGTTCCCAGTTGCAGTGAAGAACGGGTTGAACTGGCCGCTGACCACAATGCAGTCGATGGAAAACCATCTAGTTAATTATGGAAAAGGGCTGAGCCACATGTATGGAGTGTGCTCCAAAGTGCACATGCGCTTTGGGCAGAGAACTGTGTACACAGGGAAAAAACGGAGAGCATTTTTTTTAACTCAGATAAAAGATCTGGATAGATAAACGTATTTTTAAAGTCTTTAAAAGATGTTAGGTTTCTTATATTTTTCATTAGGAAATACCTTGAGGATTATATTTCCCATTGTAACTTAAAGCCTGTAGATCTAAAATTTTTTCCTCAATGAAGGGTTGAGCGGAAAGCGAGAACAGAAACTGAGACCCGGTCTAAGTACAATTCCCGGTTTTGAAAACCGAACCGGACCCAACATGAGGAACGGTTAAAACTGCGGTTAAACCTATTATTAGGTTGAAAAAGTTTTGCACTAAATTGAAACAAGTTGGGAGAGCGAAAAGGGGAAATGCGAAACCGCTGAAGGCGCAGCGCTCTCTGGGGATAATTACAAATTGTTTTGGCCGATGGGGGGGTTCAAAAGAGGGGCTTAAAGGGGTGCTCTGGGGCGTATGCATTTTCACACCCGCTTGCCCGCCAAAATGCATCAATGAAAACTTCCCTTTCTTGCAGCATTTGTACCCCGAAATTTAGCCGTAGTTCTTCCCATTTCGTTGCAGTCCTTTTGTTTTTTTTTTTTGGTTTTTGTTTGTATTAAAGCTTACACACAACGTTTAACAATTTTGCCTCACTTGTCTCTTCTTCTTCTCTTTTTAATTGCAGATGCCTATCGATCAAGCCACCAGAAAGGTAAACACACAAGTATAATAAAAAAACTATGGCAATAATTTCTCTCCTCCTACTTTTTTGGTTCATTTTTCTGTTATTATTTTTAACGAAGGAAAAAAAACGAAGATGAACGCATCGAATCGATACACTTGAGAGTTTTTAGAGCGAAAAGAATTTGTTTATTAAATTAATTAAACTCGAAACGGAAATTGGGCGAGCCTCGAAAGGGCGGAAGTCGAAAGGATATATACAAGATAAAAAGTGCAAAAAATAATGTGCAAACTGTAAATAGAGCGTGAAAAAAGGGTTTTCTTTCGATAAGAATTTTTGGCAGGTCATAACGGTGTTAACGGTAGATAGAACAGGTGTGTGGATTGATTTTTCAAGATACCGTAAAGAGGAAAGTTTGAAAAGAAAGTTAAATGAAAAATGTTTATATAAAAAGATGATCATTCCACAAGGATATTTCAATTCAAAACTAAAATCACAAAATACTTATTTCACAATTTTTAACTTCTGTAATTTTTCTTTGGTAAATTTTAAACAAAATCGCAAACAAAGATGCTCACATTTTCACTCTAAAACACTCTTGAGCTCATCCAATTGTTAAACTCCTTTTGTTCAAATCAAAACTTACGTTGCAATAATTTTTTATTATATTTGTTTGCCTTTGTTGGGGGCTTCACCTATGGCAGCCAACCATAATAATAATTTTTTAAAGATATACAGTTACCCTTTTTTGTTAAATATACTACGCTCATAATTACAAAAACTATTGACACTGACATTTGTTATAGGTTCGTACAATTTTGTCAGCATTTTTGTGCGAGTCGCAGTTGGTTCAGTCAATTTGGTTTGGCAAATGGCAAGCAATTGATTTTGATCGCAGTTGACAGTTTGTTCTCCACTCCTCTCTCTCTTTCTCTCTCTTTCGCTTTGGTATTTTTTTTTTCGCCTAACTTGGCTAAAACGGCGTTTAAGCGGCATCGACCAAAAGGCGCACAAAAGCCAAAGCGAAACTCCAATGAGCCCACAACAACGTGTTGTGACCGAGCTGGTGGGCACACCTTTCCACTAAATTGGACTAAAGCCTTACTCCGCCGAAGACTAACCAACCGATCGGATCGGAGCTATGGACTTGCAGACCACAACTATGCAAATTGCTCGGGCCAAGTGGAAAATGTTGGACACAAAAAAGGAACGAATTGAAAAGCCATCGATTGATTTGACTTCATTTGAGTTTAATTTGTTGTTAAATTTGTTCGAGTGAAGAATGCGGGGGAAGGAAGGGAGTTAAATTAGTGGGAGAGTCTGAGTTGTGGGAATTATATGGGAAGATTTGGTAAAAGATAGAAAGGTTTATACTAAGATAATGAAAGGGTTAAGGAAGTGCCTATACAGGTTTAAGAAGTACTAAAATGTTATTAATTAAAAACTAATATCTAGAAAACCCCAAACCAAAAGACAATCAAACAAAATGGTAGAAAGAATATTATTTTCCCATAAATCTCGCAAACAGAGGAGAACGCTGGCGAGAATTCAAATTGATTACAAATAACTTAACACAAATTGCGACAGCACATTGATTTATTATGTGGATTTGATATGCACAGCTTTGTTGTGGAGACCAGAAAGACTATAATTTATGCTAGCCAACAATAGCGGCGACTGTCGAATGTCTAATCACAAATGACTGACTGACAATCAAGAGATCAACTCGACTTTATTCAACTCAACCGAACTCCTCAGGCTGTCAAAATGAGAGGCGGAAAAGTGTTGCAAAGAAAGACGGAAGGGGGGGGCAGGAAACTATATACATATATATATTTAATTATATTAAATTTCTAAAATAATTCGAGTCTATGATTTTCGAGGTGTGAGTTTCATTCGGGCCATTTGCATTTTGCAAATTCAGCTTAATTGAGTGTAACCGAAAAACAAAAGCAACATTGTGCCTGCCTCTCTGTTCAATCTAAATGAGGCAACAATAGTTCAATTTATTTTTTATAATAATTACAGAGCCTAAAACAAAACTGCACCCAGTATTCATATATAGTCTGTGTCGAGTATTCTCTCAGCATCATGAGATGCGATTTAACTGTAGGAAAGGGAAGTAAGGGGCGATCTTGGTTAGCCATCCAATCCATTGTTGGTATGGCATGTTTGTAACTACATTTTTTTCTTATAGTTTTTGCTTTTGTTGCCCGTTGTTTCGGTTTTTGTTTTTTGTTGCGAACTAAATGAGTTATTAGCACGCCAATTGAAATTGAAGTGAGTGAGGAAAAAACAAAGTATGCAAAAACAATTGCCAAGAAATCTGCATTAATGCACCGAGCACCACATATCGGAGCCGTTGCCGCTGGTCCGAGGGAAATCGCAAGTCGCTCGAGGAAATTATATGGCTATAACTTTGGGGAGTAAAGAAGGCCACCCAAAATTGCTAATTACCATGTGATTTTCATTTGAATATTTGACTCTGGCCAGGCATTTGCATAGGAAAATGTCGTATGGCAGTATGATGACAAAGTATTCCAAGTATTATAAATATTTTTTAGGTTCAGTAGGGTAAATTATATAGTTATTGGTCTTATATAAGTCATATTCCTTTTAATTTCTTTAAGAAAATTCGAAGCAAGGTTCTGTAAAATTCCTAATCAGATCTCCATTTTCTTAATAGGTTAATAATCTTTTACAATTTCTTAACAACTTTGCTTTATCTTTCTGGGTCGTTTAACCTTCACATACCAATCTAATTCTCGATGCGATTAAGAGCAACCAGACACAAATCTAGTTAGTGTTCTCTAATTTACAATTCCAATCGTCGGTGGCTTCCATTAAAGGTTGTACTTGATAATTTTGAGAAGTACAGGGCGTAAAACCCACAATTAGTCTGTAAATATTTCCCTGAGACTTACCCTCGGGATGTGCCTGCCCCCCACTTGCAAAAACCCTTTGGCGAATGCCATGTCATTCGTACATTTTCATGTCATTTAACAATGAATACGAAAGTCGACTGAAGTCAGCGTTGTCTTTGTCTCGTTTGGCGGCTCAATGCAAATTCCAATAACATTTATTGTTAACAGCGAAAGAAATTCGAGCCAACTTCCAAGCGCCAAGCCAAAGGTGTATTCTTTCCCGGTGCTTCTTTCTGGGAATTTACTTACTACGATATCGTTGGGTCTTATGGCTTTAAGACAAATGCCAGCGGCAGTGGTTTGAAGGGGCGAGAATCAATTTGAGGCTATGGAGATTCAATTAACATTCTGCCCGGTGAGCACTCGGCATTGGTAAATTGCAAATATGGAAATTGTGTTGCGGGCACACATTTAATTGTCGGTTAGTTGGATTGCATTGATTTAGTTGCCGGCAAACACGCTCTGCATCGGCACAAGGTGGCAACTTGGCCATAAATATAATTGATTTGCCAATTTGCAGCTAAGCCCCAGTTTCTGGTTCCCCTCTTCCCACCAGACTAAATCCCCAGGGGCAGTGGGTTAAGCCCAGGGAGTGTGGATTCGCTGACAAATGCCAGGAACGCCTATTGCATTCGAAGCTATCGAATCGAATCGAATCGAATCGATACGATTGCAATCGATTTATGCAACTGCAAGGTAGTGGCACATTTAGCACAGTTTGGCGCATATTTTGGCGTCTGTTTCTCAAGCGTCCCGGCCACAAGTCAATAATTAACAACTCAGCTATCCCTTGATTATTGAAAAATACGATCATCGGAGGAGACGCGGTGAGACGACAGCTGCAAACAGGTTCGAGAATTGTGTTGGCAAAGTTTTTTTTTATTTTTTTATTTGGCCAACCGGTTCCTCTCTCTCTCTCCTCTGGTTGCTATTATATATATTGTCTTACTTGTTTTGGCAGGCCACAGCCACAGCGACTATTTTGACAAATTGTTGTTTATTCCTGACTAAACGTTTGTCCGTTCCGCGAAAAAAATGCTAAATGACATTTGCGGCGAGTGACAACGGTGCATAAATTAGTAAAATGGCAGTTGGCCAGCCTCGAAAGATTGGAATTTGCTCTTAAACGTTGCAAATTTTATAAACAATTGGGGATATTGGAACGCAAATTAACAGAAAATTAATTTTTAGGCTTAGCCGGTTTTATTTGTTTTTGAGAAAAACTAACTTATGGAACGATTTTCATGTTTCTTGGTTAGAAATTTAAGGCTTTTAAGCTTTAATGTTGGATACTTTAAATCAGAATAAAGTTAAATTAACATCTTCGGGGGAGGATATCATTGAATTCCATTCTGCAGGTCATTAGTATTGCATCATCTTAAGACCATTACGTATATTTCCCTCAACCCAATTACCCAATCTTATCCAATCTCAACCCAATGCTAAAGACATATTCTAGTGAAACGAAAATTTTGCAAAAAAAAACAAACATGTCAGCTCTGCAGAACCGAAAAAACTTTCCAATGAAAGTGTTGCCTGCACAGCACAACCTCCAAACTCACTTCCCATAAATTCATACGAACTGGACTGACTGACTGACAGACGCACGGGTCTCAGATTTTTGCACGTCATAGCCGGGGGAACGGCCTTCCGACTCCGATTAGATCCCAGAAACACTTTCGCTGGCCAGAAAACATTGTTTTCATTCTCGGAATGATTCATGGCTAGAGTATCTCTCTGTCTTTATTTGACCCTAAAGGGGCTAAGAAAACAACTCCCAGGTTTTGTTTGTCGTTAAACGTTTAATGGAGCACAATTAAAATCCAGCCGCAAATATTGTCTGTGGCAATATGTAACTGCAAATATTTGAAAGAATTGTTATCCGAAGAACGCACAATTACAAATTATTCAGAGTTTCGTCATATATATATACTATACGTACATCGTAATAATTTATATCGTGTACACGATCATTGCTACCTGTGTTTATTTGCCAGCGTTGTCTTTGCCTTTGGCTTCTAAGGGGGACACCTGTGTACCAGCGGTAAACATGGAATGAAGATTCCATAATTTAATTGCTAAGAACAAGAGAACCATCTGGAGTCGGAGATGGAGCCGGAGCTGGTGGTCCCGCTGGACAGATGGTGGGCTAGGGGTCGTTCTATTTGATCAAGACCCCGGCTCCCCTTCGTAGTATTTGCTGCAGTTAGTGAGTTATTTTTCTTTTTGGATTCCGGCCCCCTGGTTTTATCTCTTGTTTGTCATAACTTCCACCCGCTGCGCCAAGTTGTTTATGCCTTTTCGGTTGTCGGTTAACTATTTAGCTTAACCTGCGTCAAGTATTTGCCAAAGACTTGTTTAAATATTTTCTTAACAAATAGCAGCAATTGCGGGCATAAATTACTAGAAAAAAATAGTTGAACTCTTTTTTCATTTATTTTTGTTTTTTTTTTTTTTTTCATTCTTCCTCTCTTTGTGGCTTCAGTTTATTGTGGTTGCCGTTTTGGGTTGTACATATTTTTTATGGCACATAATTAAAATGGTAGCACGTTTTCGTTCCTCTCGTTTTTGGCTTTTTATTTGTCTCAAGTCAACGGGGTGCTCACTAAAGTTGGTTAAAGCTTAATTAGGCAATGCAACTTGTGGGCGAGAGGCAGGGAATATGACTTAAAAATGCCATTTTCGGACAGGGGGAAAATTATTAAACAGCAAGATTCTTTGGAATAGTTAAGCCATGATGGATGCGTTTATGGCGAGACAGGCCATCAAAAAATTATAGACACTTTTTGGGTAAAGGCAATACGCCGTTCTTACAGAAGCAAATAAAACTAAAGAATTTACAACAATATTATTTTAAAATATTCTCCGCATAGTCTGGCATATATAAATCATGATCAAGCTTAATTATTTACATTTTTAAAAGGAGCCTAAAGAACTGCAATATATCATTTTTGTTTTCTAATTTACCATCTATTCATCTTAAAGCTCTCAAGTTCTATTTAAACACCAATAAATATTATGTTCGTTATCACTTTAACACATCAATCATATAATCTGCGTGGAAATGCAGCAGCACAATGCAGAAATTAGCATTTTTCCCTTTTTACTTATCCCACCATCAACAATTTGGTGAATTGTGATCACTGTGCTGAGGCATTTGGCATTTTTTTGTACTGATACCACGGATATTGTCCATTGCTCTCAACCCAACAGTAACTCTCTGCAATTCCGCAGTTCCAGACCGGGTAGACCGCCCAAAAGGGGACCCGTGGGGCTTTCCCTGCCGCCCACACACCTATCGCAGCATCCGCAGTTGAAGAAACATCGCCTGGACAACGGGGACTATGCCTATGAAAATGGGCACATAAGTGGTGAGTAATCGAATTCAATGTTGCACACATACAATTATTAGGGAGAAAAGATCAAGTTTATGAGTGACCATACTATGTTATACTATGCTGCAAGGAGCAGTGTGACCTTAATAATTAAAATTAAGTAACATTAAGGATGTTTTGATGGCAACTCTTTGGTCATACATAGAAGCGATTAAAGTTTTTTCAAATGTATGCTGCCTCTTTATTTTTTCTGTGCATTAAAAATTCCCACTTGCCACAGCCAATTGCAATTCTCACACAATTGAGTGGCATGGCCGCAGGGGCCACGAATTCGGATTCGAATGGTAATGAAATCATTCCCAGATTGGCCACAAAACTTGCTTTCGGGGATCGTCGACTGTTGGGTTTTTGTGTTTCTGTCTTTCTGTGCTTCCCCAATCGATCGATGATCGTCGCTGCCGCCATTTGTGATTTGTGGTCGCCGCTTGTTGGCTGATTACAGCTTACAGCTCTGCCAAACGAACGAAAAACGAAACGGATACAGAGCCACAGATACAGATACAGATACTTTGGCTACGTTCCCAGCCAAAGCTAAGGCCAGAGCCAGAGTCAGAGCCATAGCTATAGCCACAGATAAATGGCAGTCAGAGCCACAATCAACTTGAATTCCACACTGTGATTTGTACTGGCACAGGAAATCGCATTCAGTTGAATTTTCAAATTGTATCTGTGTCTGTAATTATGATAAGTACAAGCGGACTCATATTTAATTGATTTTTACATATTTCTCTATGATCGCTAGAATGAGAGACATAGAGAAAGAGAGCTCAAGCTGACAACTTGGTCAACGCCTCTTTCTATTAATGTGTCCGAAACCGTACAATACTGAAAGATACCCCCGAACACAGCAACAAAAGCCCAATCGAAAGAAATCTGAAAAATCTTTTTCTTTAGAACCATGCGCCGCCGGCGCCTTCTGAAAACGAAGATGGGCCTAAAAAACGACTGTTTGCTTTTTTTCGCCCCGTCATTTATGGCCATAAAGAGAAAAGGTTGTCTGAGTGAATTACGGGGCGTTGATACTTGAGTGATATTGCATTATTAATAAAAAGTGCACAACGCATTTCGATAAAAATGTTAACTGCATTTTCACATTCATACCTTTCGAACCATCGTTTAATTGCATTCCAAAGCGAACGAATTTTTGCCAATTTACAATGTCTACACTTTAGTGAATTTTAAAGCATTTAATGGCCCACTAAATCGTCTAAATGCATATATAGCCATGTACTCAGGGTGTATATATCCAGAGCAAACAAATGACAGCCATAGATACAAAGTATATACATATTCGACGTGTGCGTGGGTGTTTTAGTTGTTGTGTTTAGTCTGGCCGCTCAGACAATAGACATGCCATATATATAGGTATGCATATATATAATATATATATTTGGCAGACACAGACAGGAACAGGTGTCAGTTGGGCGAGCCATCAAAATGAAAGGCAAATATTGTCTAGTATGGGCCAATGGACGAGTGAATATGCATTTTCAAATTAAAATATTTACCAAGGTTCAGGGCAAAAGTATAGTAATTATTGATTATCGTTTAAGTGGTCAAGTAAGGCTGCTAAATAGAGTTTCTGTAAAGGTTCTTATCACTGTAGAATATTAGTTTAATATATCCTTAACTTTTTATAGTTTTTTGTATAATATTTCCTTTATAATTTCCCCTTTTTCCAGATATGAAGTCGCCCCTTTTGGCTAATGGCTACAATCCGCCGCCCATCAATCACATGGCTTTCATGCAGATGAACGCCCATCATCCGGGAGCGGCGGCTCTGATGTCGCCGGGTATGCCGCCTCATGGCTTGCATGCTCGTCCCGAAAGCCAGATGCTCAAGGCCGCTGCCCAAAACGCCGGAATGTCAGCGGCCAATATGGACGCCTTGGCCAGATCCGGAATCTGGGAGAATTGCCGGGCGGCCTACGAGGATATTGTCAAGCATTTGGAACGTTTGCGGGAGGAGCGAACGGATGAGCGCCAGCAGGCGATGGGTGTGGGTGGAGCGGTCGTTGATCGTGTCGGAAATGTGATGGTGGCCGAACATAAGCCCAGGGATCTCAGCTCGAGGAATTGTAAGTTGTAAAAATTTAAATATTACTTCACAATTGAAAAATTTGAAAGAATTTATTAAGTTGTTTCTGAAATAACCACCATAATAATCGAACTAACATCATAAAATTCCCCATCTTCATTTTACATTTTTAAGGCTCCCCAACGCGCCAGAGTCCGGTACTGAATCTCAGCAAGTCCGGCGGAAATACAGATCACGGCGGAAGCAACTGTGACGCGGGCAGCGAAAGAAGTGATTGCCACTCGGTGGCGGGATCCCCAGGACGAGGTGGTTCTCGCAGCCTGGACGAGGGCAAGTCGCAGCGGTGTCGGAGGGGGCGTTTCCTCCCATGTGGGTGGCGGAATTATCGGCGTGGAAGACGACGAAGAGGAGGAGGAGAACCTGAGCGACGAGAACCAATCCGAAGTCGATGAACGCTGCCTGGCCAAAGATGACGAAGGTGAGTGGACTTTACATTGATTCCTCATGTTGCCACGAGCGATGTGCGATAAGCGGTGTACAAGATGCGATAACCGATAACTGGGTTGTTCTTCTGTGACATTTCTGACTGACTCCGTTCGGAATTTGTGTCGTTTTCTGACAGATTTGAGTGACACGGAACGTGATAACCTGTCCACGGGCTCGGCCGCAGCAGCAGCGGCTGCAGCAGCGGCAGCCGCCCATCAGCTCCATCAGCATGCCGCCTCCCATCACCACCAAACGGTTGGTCTCTCCCATCACCTAGGGGTAGTGCCCCCACATCAGAGGGGTTCGCCCTCATCAGCCGAGGCAGCCGCTGCCGCCCTTCAGCACCAAAGAGCCTTGAACTATTCGCAATTGGCGGCAGCTGCAGCAGCGGCAAATGGGGCGGCAGTGGGCGGTGGTGCTGTGGCCAATGGTCCAGCCGGTGGTGGTGGTGCCCTCACCCCCAATGAAGCACTCTTGGCAGCCAACGATGCAGCTGCTTTGGCTGGAGGTCTAGCCCTGGGTCCGCTGGGCATCGATGCCCATGCTGCCGTTCCAGCTAGTTCTACGGAAACGCTGCTCAGGAATATCCAGAGCCTGCTCAAGGTGGCGGCGGATAATGCCAGGCAACAGGAGCGCCAAATCAGCTACGAAAAAGGTGAGTTTCAGATGCTCTTAGCCTTTAGAACTTTATAACCTTAAAAATATGCTGTTCCTTATTTAACTAATAATTATAAAAATATGGTAATTATTAACATCCACGTATTTCTGTTTTAATATAATTTTAGCTGAGCTCAAGATGGATGTTCTAAGAGAGCGTGAAGTTAAAGACTCCTTGGAACGTCAGCTTGTCGATGAACGTAAATTAAGAGGTAAGTTTACGTAAAAAAATTAATAAATAGGTAATAGTTGTTATAATTATATATAAGTGGTTATACCTAATAGAAAAGAATAAGTCCCTTCCAAAGGTATTTTCTAGATTTTTATGGAATATTCTTTATCGTTAGAACCTAAGAGCATTTACTTCCTTTCGCATTAGATATTTTGTGTTATTCTTCAGCCGAAAACCGGTTCACATTAGCGTCAGTCCACCGTGAGTGGTGATCCATTCCCCGTTGGTGCTGCAAATCAGTCCTGACAGTGCGCCACATTCACGTCCATGTCCACATTTAGCTCAAGACTCCAGATTCATACTCAGATCCCGGCCAGCTCCTTCGCTCAGCCTATGCCAATTCCGACTCCAATCGGGCGCACTTAATGCAATCTGACTCAAATGACAATGACACCTGATATGCCGACTGTCTGCGAATGCCCCACTCTTAACCCCTTTGGGCCCCCTTAACCCCTCCACTCTGGTGGTCGTCGCCAGGCTGCGGGCTAAGGAAAAACAAAAATAAAGGGGTTTAAGGCTCAGGCTGCTGTTCTGCTGTCTCCTGGCCTTTTTCAACAGAAATCACAATTCAAATGAATTTAATATCATTTCATTATTTAGTTACACTCGAATGATTGGCAAAAAGTAGCCAAGTTGGAGTCGGTAAGGGGACTGGCGGGGAACTGGAATCCGAGTTGCAGGGAGAGAAATCCTTTAATTGGTTGTTGTTCTGCCGTTTCCTTGTGATGACTTCTATGGAAAAGACCTTAAAAGGGTTGTCAGGGGTTAAGGGTTGATTACCTCTCGAAAGGGCAGCGATGGAGAAGAACTAAGCCTAATTGAAGGAAGTTTAGAAAACAAAATTCATTCAGTCAATTAACAGTAAAAATCTTTCTGGCTTTTGAGTAAAAGTTCAAAGCATTGAATGTAAATAATTTAAAACTGATACATTTTGTGCTTAAAACTGCAACATTGAGTACTTTTAAGCAACTTGGTAATATCCCAATTATAAGCTCTTTTACTCGATAATTTTTCAATTGCATATGCCAAAAAATGATCCATATATGGGCCCCTACTCAGTAATCACTCGCAATTCATTAGGCATACAACTACTGCTGTTTCTCCTGCCCAAAAGGCAACCCTCAAATTTAGTAGCCGCCATTGAGCCACCCAAAAAAACTAAAACTCCACCCAAAAAAAAAAAACAAAACAAAATAAGACTAAAAAACAAGGAAAAAACCAAAACAGCGGAATTACAATGCGAAAACAAAGGGAACCAGGGCAGACTATAATTGCCCACCGACTGACCGACCCGGCCATAACTTAATCTCCTTTCCCCCTTACTTTGTGGGAAAATTATGGAGGGAAAAACAGCACATAAATCAGCAAACGAAAACCGAAAAAATTGCATGCAACTATGCAAAATGCCACACAGGCACATAGACATCTAATTGCAACTAATAATAACGCCGGCGATAAAAATCGCAGCCATGTACAAGTTAGAGTTTCCACTTTTCGAGTACAGAGAACATGGCAACAATTGGCCATTTGCAACGCCAGAGCGTGGGTGCTGGTTGGAAATCGTATGGAATGGAGGGCCACAGATGGAGGGCAATGCCATCCAACCGATCCTCGCTGAAATTCAATATGCCTGCAACAGTTTTGGATTTGATTTGAGGTTGATTTTGTGGCTCCACCCTCAAAACGGCTGTCACCACGCTTCATCGCATCCATTCGCAGTGAGATCGTCGATCAGGGACACTGGAAAAAATATTTGATCAAGTACAACATTCAGCTAAAAAAGTTAAAGTTATTTTTAACGGGTGTAAAAAATGTCTTAAAGGCTTTTGAAAACATTTTTAACAATATTGCAACATTTTTTACCAGTGCAATATTTTTTATTTGTCTTTCTGTGTTTTTTTTTCTATGGCTCGCGATCTGGAATGATTGCAAGTCAGGATCAATAAACATAATTGCGCCCACACACACGGCCGGATGCGCACTTGAATTGGCACAGGCAACAAGCCAGAGCCAGAGACAGAGACAAAGAACTGAGGACTGAGGCTAGAATACTAAAGACAGATCGAAAACCAGAACCGGAGCCCCAGAATCGTTTGAATCGATCAAATTACCAGTTACCAGTCCGAGATCGCCGCACGATCTATCTATCGCTCAGTGGGCTCAGTATTTGCTGTTGTTCTGTTCTCGGGGCTTGAACTGCTCTTTTCCTATCTATTCCTGACATTTCCGTGGAAGGAATTTCGTGTTAATGGTTGCCTCATGATTTGTGGAGAGAGTTGGTGGAGATCAGTGGGTCAGTGATAGCAATCTATCAGTTTTTAAATTCCAAAAATGTAACCCAAATCGATTAGATGTAATTTGTTAATTTAGAAGATTATCTCAAGTTACATATTGTTAGAATAAATATTGGGAAAGAATATCATCATTTTCATTTGAATTTTCCTTTTGACTATATTAAAAAGTAAAAGAGTTTTATGATTCAAAACGTTTACCATAAATTGATAAAACTCTATCTCATCAATAAAAACTCATAAAATATTTTCTTGTTTTTCTTTTCAGTGCTCTACCAGAAGCGTTTCCGACGCGAACGGAAAATCCGCATCCGCTATCAGCAGCAGCTGGGCGGTGGCAGTGGAGCTGCCAAGGGCAGTCCGAATGCCAACGGCAGCGGTGGCGGTGGATCTGGATCTGCTTGTAGCGAATCGGAGGCGTGTGGCGGCGGTGGCGGTGATAACAAGTGCAACAACAACAACAATAATAATAACAATAGCAACAGCAGCAGCCACGGCGGCGATATGGAAACGATGAAAGGTGAGTTTCGGGGGTCAAGGACACGCACAACGCATGGCTAACAGATCCCCCTTTAAATCTTTTACCTCCCAAAAACCACTTCAAACTTCCATCCTTAACACCTCCTCTCATCAGATATTGATTACGAAAAGGAGCTAAATAATTTGTAGACCTCTACCTATTCCAACCCCCAAATTGCCACCCTACGCTTTTTAACCAACACAGCGCCCTTTTGTATTCACCATCTTTCGTAGAAAACGATGCTGGCAGTGAAAAATCGGACAAGTCTCTGGCCTCCAATTCTTCCTGTGATGTGACCGCCGGGCATTCGGCTGGATCCGTTTCCGGATCCATCTCTGCCGGCCTCAACTGCCCGGGTTCCCCCACTCACTTCAAACGGGAGCCCCACTCCGATCACGAAGGTTCCGTGGAGCGCCAGCCACGTTCTTCAGCTGCCTCATTGGCCGCCCACGACGAGGATAATATTAAAAGGTATTTTAAAGATTCATTTTTGGTTAAAATAGGTTTGTTTTTGTTAATAGTTATAAATTTGTTGATTCGTTTATTTCTAGTTTCATAATTTTAATCAAAACTTTTCACAATTGTTTCTTCATAATTTTTATTTGGTTTTTTTGTTTCAGAAGCGGTAGTCGCGAACGTGATGAGCGACCGCCCAGCGGATCTGCAGTCTCTGTTGCAGCAGAGGGCAGTTTGGCCGCTGCAGCAGCCGCGGCAGCAGCAGCAGCCGCTGCAGCAGCCAGCAACGGAAAAGGTCCATGGAGCTATCCCGGCATTGATCTGATGGCCACCGGCGCCTTCTGGCAAAATTATTCCGGTAAGTTAAAAAAAAATATAACTCTTTTTAATACATTTAATAAATAATTTTAAAAATATGTATATAAAATATATTAAAGCAAGTCTCTTAAAATGCTTTCTACAATGTTGTTTCGATTTTTCCCATTCTTTCCTTACAGAATCCCTGGCCCAAGAGCTAGAGATGGAGCGCAAAAACCGTGCCGCCAATGCCGAGCGGGATGTGAAGAGTCCGCTGTCGGAACGGCCGACGGCCTACTACAAAAACTCCGTACTCTTCGGCAGCGCCAATTAAACAGCTGGTCAGGTGAGGTGAGGTGGCCAGGATTTATTTGATCTCAGAGTGCAATCCCAGACGGCGGCGGCTCTTGAGTAGGGGGGTTCAAGAAATTTAAGTGTACATACCTAAGAGAGTTGAAATAGAGGATGATGAAAAGCTGGAGTCTTAAGGAACGTTGCAAACGTTGGAGCGGCCATTTTGTATATAGAGAAAATATAGTGAAAAGATGCAGAACTTCCGATATCCCATTTAGAGTGCTTAGAACCGATAGCGGAGCAGAGGTAAGCTTACAGTTACGTTGTATATAGCAGCCGATACGAAAGACTTTTTAATGAATTGAAATTGAACGATATGCTGAAGAAACTGAAACCCGTGTAGGCAGTTGGCATAACTAGCATTTAACTTCCCGAAAAGAAACCATTTTTAGCATTGCTTATAAACCCTAACATATAGCTTCAATTCGAGTATATAAATGTAACAGAAATATGAAGAGAAAAATCATATGAAATAATACGTAGATATTTAGGAAGTATAGAAATAAAACTTACGAGCCGCTTTTTAGTGTTTTAAATGAATGGATAAAAACTTTGATTTATTTTACGAGGTAATATTTCTAAACATAAGATTTTAATTTATTCACTAGCCTAGCAGGAGCGCAGTAAGCCGGTAATACTAAAAACTAGCATATAAAAATAATTAACTTAAAGTATTTCCCTTGCCTAGGCGGTAAACAATAATTCATATTATATATACCTAATAATAAATATTAAAAATAAATGCTAAACAAACAAAACAAACTTGTATGCCCGTTACAAAAAATAAAAAAGCAAAAAGCAAAAAGCAAAACAAAACATAACATAATGAAGGAAAAATGATCAAAAATTGACATTAAAAACTATTTAAACGCTTCATATGCTATTATATATACACCCTCTATATATATACACACACATTAACTTTAGTCATAACAATAGTCAAAGAACAAATAATTCCGCGAATCAACAAAAACAATAAAGGTTCAAATATTGTGCAAAATTTCGCCGCTCGCAGTAAAAACACAGAAATTATTATAATAAATACGATTAAAATAATACACCGACCGACAACACACAAAAAACAACACCAACAACCAAGCGAAAAAGTTTAAAAATAATATATAATAATAAATTATTATTGCAAAAATAATAAAGCGACAAACTGTGTTTTCATTTCTTTTTACGGAGGAGGTGTCGTGTGGGCGACAGACAATGTGGGCTATGTTTAAATTATTTAGTTTGGGTTGGTTTATTTTGATTTCAAATATTTTAGTGGAAATCCATTTATTATGTAATACTCTCTACATACAGCTCGCAATAGGAAAACGATTATTAAATCAGGAAAAATACTCTTTTTCCAATATAAGTAAACTCCCAAAAAAATACAGGTAACAAGTAACAGGAAGCGCTATTACTGTCGATTTACTGAATTAATGATCCGAAATCATTGGCATAGGATGTATCTTTGTTTAATTGCCGTCTATACAAAAGCCTTTATGCTTCGCAGATTAATTCGCTGTGCGCTGGGCCTCAATTTGGTCTAACATATGCCAGTCTATGCGATTTTTAGCAATTTAATTATAGCACCCGGGCCTCGGAGGAGCGTGAGATAGCCGCAAAAAAATTTGAAGAAAGATATAAAAACCAATCGATCAGAGACCTGGCAAATTCTTGTTTCGTTTTTTTTTTTTTTATTAATATTATTTGGCCATCAGCTGCGAGGCGCGCGTTTGGACAGTTATCGATCCAGAATCCATAAAATGTATACGGCCAGATGATGATTTATGCGTCTGGCTCAAGGGGATCAAATCAGTTTGGATCAGCTCTCAATCTCTGATTGGCGAGAAGAGACCACGCGGAATCGTATACAGAAACAGAAACTGCATATTGTGATTATGATTATTGGTAAATTATATTTAATTTACAGTTAAACGATCACGTATGTACGCCAAAGGCCCCGAAAATGTTTTCGCCGGATCGCTGGCGACTCGAACCACACTCCAAAAATACCTTTCCGACCTGACCTCAATTATCGATTTAACTTTATTATTGGTTTTGATTTGGACTTTTTGATTTTCGGGGCGCATCTCACCGAAGCAAAAAAAAGTTGAAATTAAAAGGAATGCTGTTGATTGCTATGTTCGTCCCAGGAGGAGAAAAAAGGGCACTACAAGGTATGGAAGATATGTGTCGCTGGATCTGGAGCATTAGGTGGGCAGGTCGCTTAATTCTCGTTAATTTCTCACTGGCAACGTGCAACGTTTAGCTGATTGCGGGTTTCCCAGTCCTCGTCCAGTCGAGACTTAAATTGTGGCAATCATATTTTGTGTTAAATGCATTAATTTTATGTTTTATTGAAGGGTCCTTGCCCGTGTTTAACTGTTATTTCGGCGGTTTGCTGGAACTGGTTGACAATAAATCAGATATATTTGAGGGCAGGTTTTTGAGGGCCACTTGAAACTGGGTTAATGGGCACGGTGTGGGGATCAATGCTAAGGTAACATTTAAGGAATATATCTAAACGAATTAGTACATTTTGTGTGATATTTATACAAATAATTAATGAAATTATCTCCTCAAAATTATTTGGTCTCCATAGTTACCAAGTCTTCCTTAAGCTTCAGATAACCTGAAACTAATTTACCAATTCCTTTCTTAAGAACCTTCTACATGACCGGCCATAGATCATCTTTGGAACATCTAACAGCTCTTTCATTGTAGCTGTTGTCAGGGCTCATAGATCATGATTCTCCTCCCGGATCGTGGATCGTGTATGCTGTTGACAAGCAACTGTCACCACCAGCGGCCCAGGCGCCATATTGTTGGGGTTTCACTTCGACTTCCACCTTTACCATTACCAGCATCCTCCAGCTCCGAGTGCTGTCTTTTAGCCTCCATGGGGCAGAAGCAAAAACTGTGGCTCCAACGGCATGGCAGGCAATTTCCACACACAAATAAGCCGCCAATTTGCCCCCACTATAGGGCAGATAGTCCATAGACCAGACGGCCGAAACAAGGCAAGCGAAACCCGCCAGACACTACGTCAACTACGTAGACACGTGAACACGGCTACTATGGGATAATTCATAAAAGAAATAAAATAAAAAAATTATTAATATGTTTAACATTTTAAATATATTTTATTTTTAAGTAATCTATCAGGGAAGTTTATTTTACTTTTATAATTTCATATTTAAAATTTCTGTGTTCTTTTCATTTATCAAATTTGAAATTTAAATTTTTACCTAATTAATATATCTAATCTAGAGAAAATGCTTGATAATTAGGAGAAACATAAAATCTAACCCACTGTCCTTGACTAAATAAAGAAAAACCTAGGCATCCCTTTGGCTGGATCTTCCTTCGATGACTCCGCTGGTTATAAATCAGTTTGCGCGGCTTTTAATAAATTGTAATTGAGTCGCGAGTCGCGACTGCAGCTCATAGATACATTTGTATCTGCTGTTTAGGTGCTTAGTTCGCTGGGGCATGTATCTTTAGCTTTTGGCTGCGATTGCGATCGCGTGTGGGAATGCAAAGGCGAAGATTCGCAGGCGAATCTTGAGCTTCGAGAGGGCCCATACGATCCGATCCCAAACCATCCAATGCGATCCTTATAAAGCAGGCTGCTGTTAAGTTAACCCCTCTGCTCTTAACCCACTGTTGTTGTTGCCGTTGTATACATGGCACTTTGCCGGCTGTCGCCACTTCGGTTGTTTGGTTGTTCTGGCTGTTTGGTTGTTTTTGGTTGTTTGGCTGGCTCCTCAGAACCCCCTGCTCTTTACTCTCGCCATCCAGCATCATGCTCGAAAATCACGTAATGAAAAATGTTTTGTGCGCAATTTTTCTTTTCATTTGTTTCGTGCCTCTCAGCTTGCAAAATGGGAAAAAAACAACAAAAAAATATATACAAAAAAGACTGTTTTGTTTCGCTGTTTGTGTGTGTCGAGCAGCAATAAAACCCATTGAACACGAGTTGCTTTCGAGGCAACATGAACAATTAATGCAACATATGTTAGCGGGCCGCAGAAACCGCAATGCAAGATCTGCAGCAAGATGATCCTTTATGCATTTAATGGCCGGCCAAACAAATCGAATTAGTTGGCAATGCTCTAGGCTGGCAACACGCGAGCGGAACTAGCCAAATAGAACTATGGAATTTGATTTGGAGTAAGACTATTTGGTCTATAAGGACTACTTGGTACCCTTTCGAACTGTTGGAGTGTGCTAAATATATGAAATATATATAAAAAGTAAGACATTTCTACTTAAGAATATTTATAAAAACGTTACTAAACTAAGTACCTCGAAGCATAGATAACGTATGTCTAAAAAATTCAAAACCCTCTACTAGTTAAGTTTTCTTCCCGTCAACATTTTCACTTAAACCCTCTGCTTAAGAGTAGTTTTAAAATTAATTTCATAACTAAGATTACCGGCTACACCCCCAAAAAGGCAAGGCAATCTCCCATTCCCCCGTTAACTTCTTCCTCTAATAGTTACAACTAGACTTTTTTCTAATTGAAACTTTTTTTGCAATCGGGCAGCAGCAAATAGTTCGATCGATTGCCAGGATACGAATTAACCCAACAGATACGCAGCTGCAATCACACCGATTGCCAATGCATATGAAAATTGTACTTTTAATTGTATCTTCAGCCTCCAACCCAATACATTCCAGACTATGGGCCATAGGTTATAGACCAGACGGATCCCAGGGATCCAGCTCCAGCTCCAGCTCATCGCTTCTTTAATTGCCTCGCCGTGGAGGAGAACTCGTATTTGTTTTTAGACTTTTGGGCGGGCAATTTATGGCTTATCATTTTTTGTGCTTTTAATTTCTGTTTTTTTCTTCTTCTTCTGTTTTTGCTTTCCTCAGGTGGGTGTGATGAAGGCATTCAGATGGAATGGGTTGGGATTCCTGGTGAGCAGGTGGATTTCCCTGGGCTATGGGTCAGCAGGAAAGGCCAACGGTAATGCTTTAAGCTATGCCAGATTTTAATGCGATAAAACAGGTGCTTACATTAGAGGGAAGATTGTTAGAATTAAGTTTTTAGTGAGTTTGATAATAGTATCAGCATATGATACTATATAAACTGTATCTTATGAAAGGTATCTTAAGTAATTGTAGATACCAAAAATCAAGTAGCCCAGGATTATCATTGTGTAAGAGCAGGATTACTAACAATTGGCCCTTAGAGTTCTTAGATTTGCCCTCAAAGACATCTATCCATATAATCCCCTCTTATATAGGGGGATGCCCCTCTCGAACAGCACGACGTCGAC